AATTTACCTTCTGCCATGTTACTTTTGATAAGACTACAATATTGATAACATGTCAAAGCCACTCTCCTCACTTGTGCATATTATGCTGAAAATGGCAGCTTTGACGTAAAACATCTGGTTATGAATTCATTAGTGAACCTGTTACAGACAAAGCACATTAATTTATTTTTTCCTTAAAATTGTAATTTCAAAACACAGTTTGACTGGCAATTTATTTTCCTGTCCTTCTTTCTAAAACCTTTGTGTGTGTTTGGTATGGAAAGGGGATAAAAGACATTTTAGTTGTCTCTTGCCTGAATGATCAGTCACTTCGACTCCTTGTGACCCTATGAACTGTAGCCTGCCCGGCTCCTTCTGTCCGTGCGATTCTCCAGGCAAGAATATTGTAGTGGGAGTGGGTTGCTGTGCTCTCCTCCAGGGGATCTTCCCAACCCAGGGGTCAAATCCGCACCTCCTGCGACTGCTGCATTTCAGGTGGATTCTTTACCTGTTAAACCAGCAGGGAAGCCCAGTTGCTTGTTAGCATAACCTAATAACTGGGTTTCAGTTATGAGTTCTTTTAAAATATAAATATAGTCTTCTTTTTTCTATTGCTTTTTCTTTGGAAGTTGCTAAAATCCCTTGAAATTAACTTATAAAATCTGAAAACCTAATATTTAATGTTAAGATTTTTCTCTAGATAAGGTGGTAATATTTTAGCCCTTAGTTTTTATCTTCCTCCTCAGTTTTTATCTTCCTCCTCTCCTAAACAGTAGAAAATACTACATTCATGGTTTTGGCTCTTTCTTGCTTTAATTATTCTTTAAAGGGAGTAAATATTTCTCAAGTTTCTACCTGAAAACTCCTTTATATATTTCATTCTCATTTACTAGCCAAATCTCCTTTCTGCACATGACCATCAAGTCCAAATGTCAGGTGCCCAAACCCCAATCTCTCTTGCACAAGTAGATAGCATCACCCATCGGAGAAGGCAATGGCAACCCACTCCAGTACTCTTGCCTGGAAAATCCCATGGACGGAGGAGCCTGGTGGGCTGCGGTCTGTGGGGTCGCAAAGAGTCGGACATGACTGAAGCGACTTAGCAGCAGCAGCATCACCCATCAAGCTTCAATCCCAAATCACACTCGTCTGTTCCTTCTCCACACTCCCTGATATTTCTATTGCTAGCCATTCTCCCAGTTATGCGGACTTTAAGCTTTCAAGTTTTTCAGTTTGTGTTATCACTTTTTATACCATCTAAGATTTGCTACTCAAAATGTCTAAAAGTCAGAATAGGATCTATGAGCATCACTTGGGAGTTTATTAGAAATGCAGATTCTCAGGCCCCATCCAATCTATACTGAATCAGAGCACACACTTTAATGAGATTCCCAGATGATTCAAAAACACATTAATAAACACCTTCAGAGCACTACTCTAACATTTAGAAGAAAGAGATCATCTCTCTCATCCACGGGACCTTAGCATATGGTGGCCACTCTGATCTTTGTTCACTGTCTGCCTGTGTGTGTAACTGTTTCAACTAAAGAAACTCTTGACGAAAGTGAAAGAGGAGCGTGAAAAAGCTGGCTTAAAACTCAACATTCAGAAAACTAAGATCATGGCATCTGGTCTCATCACTTCATGGCAAATAGATGGGAAACATTGGAAACAGTGACAGATTTTATTTTCTTGGGCTCCAAAATCACTGCAGATGGTGATTGCAGCCATGAAATTAAAAGACGCTTGCTCCTTGGAAGGAAAGCTATGACCAACCTAGACAGCATATTTAAAAGCAGAAATATTACTTTGCCGACAAAGATCCATCTAATCAAAGGTATGGTTTTTCCAGTAGTCATGTATGGAAGTGAGAGTTGGACCATAAAGAATACTGAGTGCCAAAGAATTGATGCTTTTGAACTGTAGTGTTGGAGAAGACTCTTGACAGTCACTTGGACTGCAAGGAGATCAAACCAGTCAATCCTAAAGGAAATCAGTCCTGAATATTCATTAGAAGGACTGATGCTGAAGCTGAAACTCCAATACTTTGGCCACCTGATGCAAAGAACAGACTTATTGGAAAAGACCCTGATGCTGGTAAAGACTGAAGGTGGGAGGAGAAGGGGACGACAGAAGATGAGATGGTTAGATGGCATCACTGACTCGATGGACATGTGTTTGAACAAGCTCTGGGAATTGGTGATCGACAGGGAAGCCTGGCATGCTGCAGTCCGTGGGTTTGCAAAGAGTCGGACACGACTGAGTGACTGAACTAAACTGTACTTAATTGGGTCATAGCCCTCTTGCTTTCTCCAAATTCCTTTTTGCAGTTCTCGTCCATATCATCAATTTTTCCTTCTCTGCCAATCATCTCCATCAGCATACAGGTTCTGCAAATGGTCATCAAAAGGAACCAACAAACCTGGTTGATTTAAGCAAAAGCGGACTTTATTAAAAGGACACTGCAGGTGAATCACTATCTCCTCGGCACTGCATGCAGGAATCTGTCACTAGCATTGTAGCCAGTATTGCCCACACAAACTTGAGCATCCTACAACCACTGCTGCACCACTTCTCCCACTCCCCACTTATCCCCTCCCAGCTCCAGTCTCCATCCAAGCAGGTATATCTGATTGGTGAAGCCTGCATCATGACCACACTCTACCTGATAGGGAGACTGGGAAGGAGTATCTAACATGTTCAGCATCTACAATAGAGGGAGGACACTGCCTCTCACCAAAAGTCATAATTTATAGTTTAGGGAATTTCAGAAATGTCCTTCAATTAAAAGGATTCAGATGTTATTGAAAGGTTAAAGAAATAATAATAATCCCATTTCTACCACACTCATTTATCTTTTTTCAAAGTTTATTTTTGCCTTTCCCTCTTTTGGTGGAATTAAAAAAGGTTGTCCACACTTGTCTTTATTTCCTCATATCCTATTCTACCCAATCTAGCATTGTTCCTCAAAAGCCATCACATTCCCAAATCCAGCAGACACTTCTCAGCTCACGCAGTTTAACCTTGCAATGTTATTGGATAGTCTCCCAGCTCCCATGAATTTACGGTCTCTTGGAATTTCACTTTTTTCCAAATGTTTCAGCTCAGCTTCCTTTGCTGACTTTCCCTCTGCTCAATCTCTGTATGTTTGTTTTCAGAGCTCTATCCCTTCCTCTTTATGTTTGTTTTCAGAGCTCTATCCCTTCCTCTTTAACTCCATTCACTCCCTAAGTATTCTTTCAATTTCAATTTGTTCCTGGCTTAAAATTCTCAAATCTGATAATTCTTGCCTTTAGAAAAAAATCTACAGACCTGTTTACTGAGCTTTAGAGTTTTGCATCTGCAACTGCTTACTTTGTACTTCTCCATGTATGTCTAATACATATTTTAATTTTAATATGTCCAAAGAGAATTCTTAATTTCCCTCTCTAAATTGGTTCCTTATGAAGTACCTCCAATTTCAATAAAAGGCTTCATCATTCAGCTGGTGTTTAAGCCAAAAATCTCAGAATCATCCTTGATTTATTTTTCTTAAACTCTCATATCCCATTTATCCACAAGTCCATATTTTCTACCACCCAAATTCATTACAGCTCTCCATTCCCTACAAGCACTCCCCTAGTCTAAGCCATCATCATTTTTTGCTTATTCCCAAATTGCCATTTGAACTGGCCCATTTCTTCCTCTCCATCCTCAATTCATAGCCCCATCTCAAGACCCCCCACACAACTTTGCTCCATTGATCACCTTCCTGTTCTTCAAACAAGCCAAGCTCTTTGCCATCCCAAGATTTTGCATTTTTCTTCTGCCTAGAATGTCAGCAATACTAAATCCACGCCAGCTTATCCCATTCTGACTCCACATTACCCTTCCAGATCCCTCTTGATTTTTACCTTCCCTAAACTAGCCCACCACTTACCTTATCACCTCATTACCTTATCTTGCTTACTTTTCCTTTATAAAGCATTTTAAAATTCTGAAATTACCTTATTTACTAGTTTGAAGTGTTTCTGCCCTGACTAGAAGCAGTATCAAAGCAGAAACTTGTCTTTTTGATTCATGTTTGTGTCCCGTGGGATGTCTGATACACAGTAGGCATTCCATAAATATTTTGTTAAATAACTGAATTGATAATTAAGTGAATGACTGATGTCATATTCCATTGAGATTCCCTAACCTTTTCATTCCTATCCAAATGACTCATCTTTACTCACTGGTGATAGCTTGATAGCTAGTTATCTAAGACAAGTTTTGTTCATTTACTTTTGATTCTGCCTGGGGTTATTAAACATTCTCCTTAATAATATAACAATAATGCCTTGAAAAGCTAGTAAGAAAACCAAAGGTTATGATGCTGATATAACTCAGAATATCTCCTGGCTGATGTGGGCAGTAAATGATGTTCACCCATCAATCATTTTTCCACTCCCTGCAACTGAATCTCCCTGGAGGAGTCATCAGATGCTCTCAATCTTGAAGATTGACAGGAAGTCCCTGCAGACACCAACTCTATGCAGCATCAGGAGGGATCCTTGACACTAAGATTTAAAAGCCCCACTCTCAGAAAGATTTAGAAAACTCACAGGCTAAGTTCTAGTTATCACAGCTTCTGGAAAGGTGCAGAACATGAAGGTAAGGAAAAGTTTTATTTGAGACTTTTTAGCTATTTTATAAAAGCTGTATAGTGTTTTTTTTTTAATTCTTTCATATTTAATGTGTTTCAGAGTCAAACATTGTGCCCTTAGATTCATTTGATTTTACAAAGAAAAAAATTCACTTATTCTCTTAAATCCTCATTTGGGTTAAATAATTAAAATAAAATATTTCTAAATAATTTTTTAAAAAGATCTTTTTGTGAATTAACTAGATGATAAACTAGGGAACTCCCTTCTTTCCTACATTCTGAGTGCTCAAACAAAACAGCAAAAAAAAAAAAAAAAAAGGGCGGGGGGTGTAATTGTCCAGGAGCCAAAGAAAAAAGTAGAAGATTCTATAGGCACAGAAATGACTTTGATCGTTTCATGCAGGGATTCAAAAGTCTGGTGGTAATGACCCTGACCTTCTTCCTGGTGTTTTCTTTCATGGGAAATTGCAACAGTGCTCCGCAGGTAATCACAAGCAAAAACTGGGGCTCCTCTGTGCGCTGGGTACGTCCTTCCTTCCTTCTTCCCTCCCCTCTATTCCCTTCTTTTCCTTCTTTCTTCTCCTTCTTTCCCTTCCCTTCCCTTTCTTTCGTTCCCTCCCCTCCCTTCTCGCTGATTTCTAATGCTGGGCTGGGCAGCAACGCCTCCCTAACTGCTTTCCTCTTCTTGGGTTGTAGAGACTCTTTGAGAGAAGGAACTGGACTCCTCAAGCTATGCTCTACCTGAAGGGTGCACGTATGTTCCAAACACTTTGCTCGTCCGACAGTGGTAAACGGGGAGCCTTAGGGGCGCATGAATCCGCGGGACAGAAGGAGGCCTGCGGGGAGAGAATCCCATCGAGTTCGTTCCCATAAAGAACTGAGATCATCCTGGTCTCAGTTAATCAAGGAGAAAGGTCGAGGGTGGGGAGTGGGGTGGGGAGGATAATCAGAAATTCTCCAACCCAAACCGGAAGGTAGTTGGCTCTTGCTCAAAGGAAGATTGGGGTTTCCCAGGCACACCGCCCCGGTTGGTGAGCGAGACCGCCGCCCCCTCCGACGCGCTGGGGGAGGCGCGCGGCTTTCCCGGTGGTATCCTCCCCGATCCGCGCCGGGGGCCCGGAGCCCCGCACCCCCGCGCGCCCCGGGTGGGAGCACCCGGCCTCGCCGCCCCGGCTCGCCCGCTCCTGGTCCGGCAACTCCGATCGGCCGGGCCGGGCGGGCGCTGAGCCCTTGTCTCGCCTTGGCAGAGGGGCGCCGCTTCCTTTCCGACCAGAGCCGGAGGAAGGACCTCTCCGACCGGCCGCCGCTCGGTGAGTGCGCGGGAACCAGGAGGCCGCGGGCGCCAGGAGACCGCGCGGGTAGGGAGGGCGCACCCCGCCCCCGGGAAGGCGGGCTCCGGGGCCGCCCGAGGAAGAGCCGGCCCCGCCCGGGCCCGCTGACCTCAAGGATAGAGATCCGGTGGCGGGAGCCGGGGTTCCGCTCCAGACAGCGGGGGACGGGGGGAGTGGCGGGGCGCGGGGTGGGGCGGAGAGGCCAGGATGGGTGTGAGAGCTGTGCGTCTGCCCCTAGAAACGTGCCTCCCGTTTAACGCAGGGTCTTTACAAGATTTTCTTCAAACGCTGTTGTTACCAATGTTATCATCATCGTCATTATTAAAATAGTGATTTGCCTAAAAACTTCAAACGCCTCTATTTTATTACTGAAAAGAACTATTAAAAGGTTCAAAGCCAGAAATAGTGAAGAAGTGGGGGGCCTTTAAGGATGGAGCCAGAGACTCTTTCACGATAAACTTTCCACGCCGTTGGATTAAAAAATAGCAATATCATTCATTTTGATAAACATTCAAGATTGCTGAAAGTTACCAAGTCTACTCGTTTTGAAAAATATCAAACACCGTTTTGAGCACATAGTAGGTGCTTATCAAATTTTGGTTTACCTTCTTCAAGCCGGCACCTTATTTGCTGTAGGAGGTTAAGGTTTGTTTTCCCACTTCATTAGATAACCAAAATTCATGGTTTGTGTTGAATCAGGACGGTTTGTCTTCCACCAACTTGTTTGAAATAGTTTTGAATATTCTTCAGATTCTCTTTCAGTCAAATAATTGCCTTATATGTGGCCAAGAAGGTAGATTATTTTCTCAAACTGCTTTGGAAGGAATAAGAAAGAACTAGACTCCAGGCAGTGTGTGTGTGTGTGTGTATGTGTGTGTGTGTGTGTGTTAGTCGTTCAGGCAGTGTGTGTGTGTGTGTTAGTTGTTCAGGCAGTGTGTGTGTGTGTGTGTGTGTTAGTCGTTCAGGCAGTGTGTGTGTGTGTGTCTGTGTGTGTGTGTGTGTGTGTGTGTGTGTCTGTGTGTGTGTGTGTGTGTGTGTTAGTCGTTCAGGCAGTGTGTGTGTGTGTGTGTGTGCGTGTGTTAGTCGTTCAGGCAGTGTGTGTGTGTGTGTGTGTGTGTGTGTGTGTGTTAGTCGTTCAGTCGTGTTTGACTCTTGCAATCCCACCAGGCTCCTCTGTCCATGGAATTCTCCAGGCAAAAATACTGGACTGAGTTGCCATTTCCTTCTCCTGGGGATCTTCCTGACCCAGGGATCAGACTCCAGGCAGAGTCCCGTCTAAACTTTTCCACTCAAGCATCCCATTTTAACCTCTGAGGGGGAAAATTCCTCCTGGGCTCTTTATCTTAATCCTCCTTGCTTTAGTGAAATTTGCTGTAGTATATATAGTTTAAATTCTCTTCCATTCCCTGTCGTACACAATATAACCAATTGTAAGTAATGTCCAAGGAAAGTGTGAAATGTTTCAGCTTATAAAAATCAGTCTGTGCAAGGGGCTCTTTGCTGAGCAATCAAAAAGCTATTTCACAGAGATTTTTCTAGTATTATAGCATAGTAGAATAAGACTTCCCTATATGAATATTTAGGATTCCCTGGTGACAGATGGTCGGGAAGATCCCCTGGAGAAGGGAATGGCAACCCACTCCAGTATTCTTGCCTGGGGAATCCCATGGACAGAGAAGCCTGGTGGGCTCCATGAGGTTGTGGAGTTGGACACGACTGAGCAACTAATAGTTACTTATTTATATGAATGTTTAAATGCTAATAGAACCTGTATATGTTTTTTCATTTCTCCAGAAAGACGAAGCCCAAATTCCCAACGACTAACTCTTCCAGAGGCAGCAGCTGTACTATTGGCTTTTTTGCAGAAACCACAAGAAGGTACAAGCATAGTAAACTCTTTTAACTGCAGGACAGAGAAGCTTTGAGTGCTTTGGAGATTCTGTGTTGGGTGCAGCAAAGTTGCTTTTATTTATTTAGATTTTAAAAAGTAATTAACGGTTGCCCAAGCTATCAGAAATTAACAGAAATGTTTGTTATTTACAGACTACCATATTTCTCATTATAGTGAGTCCCAAGAATGTAAAAACATTTCCTTGATGAGATGGTGGGATTTCATGTTAATTCCATAATCCATAGCCTTTTGGAGCTTTTTTTTCTCTTAGAATCCTAGAGACTCCAACTTCATTATTTTATATTTGAAAAAACTGAGGCCAAGTAATCACAAATCCAGTTACTTGCTATTAAAATTTGAAGCAAATGAAATAGCTGAAAATCATTCATTTTTAACTTACAAACAGGGCAGTTTCTTATGGTTCACCCTAAGAGATATGGGCTCGTTCTCATGCTAAATGCTAAACCTGTGTGATTTGTGTTTCACTATTCTACTTCTTGGATTTTCCCACTGGCTCAGTGGGTAAAGAATCTTCTGCAGTACAGGAGACACAGGGAGACTCAGGTTCGATCCCTGGGTTGGGAAGATCCCCTGTAAGAGGAAAATGGCAGCCCACTCCAGTATTCTTTCCTGAAAACTCCCATGGACAGAGGAACCTGGTGGGCTACGGTCCACGGGGTCACAGAGAGTCAGACATGACTGAGCAACTGAGCATGCACACATACAGCTTCTTGCATGCCAGGATTAGGTGTGATCTTCAAATAGAGACTCTCTGTCCATGTGGCATTAAAACCACTATTTGCATTAAGGCATCTTGTAACACATTAGCCTGGACTTTGGAATATAACAGGACTGGGTTCAAATCCTGGCCTGAATGTTTTCCTATCTGGGTGGCCTTAGTGTCATTATTGGTAAAATGGAATAATGACATCCATGGGCAGGGTTGCTCTAAGAGCCAAATGAAACAAAGTATGTAATTTTTTATTAGTATTAACAATAGAGGTCATCAAAGCGTAATAAATAGACCTAGACATTTTGCTCTCAAAAACTCTAATGATGCCATATTTATGTGATTTACATGATAAAATGTATAAAAAAAATACAGTGAGTAGTGTGTGTTCAGTCGTGCCTGACTCTTTGAGACCCCGTGGACTGTAGCCAACCAGACTCTTCTGTCCATGGGATTTCCCAGGCAAGAATGCTAGAGTGGGTTGCCGTTTCTTCCTCGCAGGGATCTTCCTGACTGAGGGATCAAACCGGCATCTCCTGAATTGGCAGGTGGATTCTTTACCACTGAGCCACCTGGAAAGCTGTCTGGTGGTCAGAGCACAAACTGCTGGCCTGCTGCTCTGACACTTGTGCTGATGAAGAAAACCCTGTGCTCACTGCCTGGTATTGGATGGGCGATGTCTGGGCAAGGAAGAGAGCAGGAGGTTCTTTCTGGCTTCAGACTTACAGCTTTGTTGTGGAAAAACAAAACAAAAACAACCCTACAAGAAGTAAATGGAAGAGACGGGGATAAAGAGGTCTTTTGAACTCAGAGCAAGGTGGGGGTTGACTTGGTTGCATGGAGGAGATTATACTAGTTAATTCAGCAAATCTGCATTGATGTCTGCTAGGTGCTAGGCCCTGTGGCAGATAGAGAAAAAAAGCAGGTTAAGCAAAAAAGCAAAAATTCTGGTGGTCCAGTGGTTAAGACAGCATCTCCTGCATTGGCAGGCAGATTCTTTACCACTAGCACCACCTGGGAAGCCCAGTACATTTATTAATAAGTCATTCATCCATAATAAGTGAATTACCTCCGAGGATTACTCACCTTTATCATCCATATGATATGGATGTAAATTTCCTCATTTACATATGAGGAAATAGAAGCACAAAGACTGAATAGCTTGCCCACTCTCGGGAGGCAGGGACATACTTGAACTGAGCTGAGAAACAGGAGTAGCTGATTCTTCATCTGAGAATTAATCACGTGGTCTATGGATTTTTAGCAGAGAGGGAACATGGTAAAGGAAGATGTAACTGGTTATGGCTCATAGGGTAACCATCAAGGCAGGAAAAATAGCTACAATATGAGAATATCTACTGTGTGTCAGATGTTAATGTCATCCTTGTAGCTCAGAAAACTGAACCCGTCTGGAGTGTATATCCTTTCCTAAGGCCACGTGGTTAGTAAGAAGTGATATGGGGAGTTTAACTCAGGGCTGTGGGTATCTGTAACTCTTGCCATCTCTCAAATGGATGGTGATAAGAGGACGGCTGGAGAGGGGAGTCAATGAGAAACTAGGGCAGTCATTCGGGAGTGGAGTCATGAAGTCAGTGGGGATGGAGGCTCAATGCTGAGGCATGCCACAAGGAGAGCAGATAACACAGGGTAACTCTTTGCTAAAAGCATAAAACAGAATGGATAAGCGACCAGGTCCTACTGTATAGCACAGGGAACTTTATCAAATATAGCAGAATGCTTAGTAAGAGTACAGAAATCAAAGGAGGAGGAAGATTGTGTTGGGTAGGAAGGGTCGTTAAAGAGGAGTGGGGTGGGGGCGTGGGAGGGAGACTCAAGAGAGAGGGGATATATGTATACTTGTAGCTGATTCACACTGTACACACCATTGTAAAGCAGTTATCCTCCAATTTAAATTTTTTTCAATTAAATAATAATAAAATAAATTGCGGCTCACAAATCTTTCCCTCGCCCTGCCCAGTGGTATGATTTACTGCTGCTGTGCCCATTCTGAAAGCTTGTTTGGAGGGAATTTGGGAAAGGAAATTAGACTGCAGAGGTAAGAGAAAGTGGACGCTTGCTGGCATGGCCTTCAGAATTCTTGCAATGAAAAGGTGAGAAATAGTTGAGTCATGGGTAGAGGATGCTGCCTGCAACATTTGGCATTCTTACTGAGTTTTGAAGTCAGTAGGAGGACAGCACAAGTTGTGATGAGTGGATCGTGTAGTCTGAGATTTCATTGCTGGGAAGATTTGCAGAGCCAGAAAGGAAAGTGAGCTGGAAGGGAGAAAGGAGAGCTCGTTTTAAAGAGAAAGAGAAGGGAAACTTCCCTGACAGTCCAGTGTCTGAGACTTTGAGTTCCCAAGGCAGGGGGCCTCTGGTCAGGAACTAGGTCCCACATGCCACAACTCAGAGCTAGCATAGCCAAATAAATAAGTATTTTTTAAAAAATAAAGAGGAGGAGAAGGACCTTCATTAGAAACTACAGAATGATTTGACTCTAGGTCTCCATTTCAAATCTTTTGGAATAATAAATTCAAATTTTTAGGTCTTTAAGTTTCTGAAGTGGCTTGTCTCTGATGATGAAATTAGAAAACAAAATTTTATTAGTCTAAATTGATGGGAAATTTTGGATTCTTACATGATAGATTAATCAGTGTTCACCTTTATATTTTCATTCTGAAATCCCTAGATATGATTTGGACTGACTCTTTGCAACCTCATGGGAATTCTTCAGGCCAGAATACTGGAGTGATAGCCTTTCCCTTTTCCAGGGGATCTTCCCAACCCAGGGATCGAACCCAGGTCTCCTGCATTGCAGGCGGATTCTTTACCAGCTGAGCCAGAAGGGAAGCCCTTATTTTAAGTAGTGGATTATTATTTCAGTGGAGGATATACAGGGATGATTCCCTTCTTGGCTTTTTTTCCTTTCCTTTAAATACACACTGCCCTATATAAAACAGATCACTAATGAGGACCTACTGTGTAGCACAGAGAACTTTACTCAATACTCTGTAATGACCTATATGGGAAAAGAAGTGGATACATGTGTATGTGTAACTGATTCACTTTGCTCTACAGAAGAAACCAACACTATAATAAATTTTTTTAATGTTTTAATTTAAAGAATAAATAGAGCATCTGATTTTCTGCAGTACTTTGAAGTTTGGTAGCAATTCAGGTTAAACTAACTCGGATATTCCAACTATAATGTAACTCACTAGGGGAAAGTGGTTTTCTCTAGAGATGACCTTAGACAAAATGAACAGTGAAATTTTGCCTCTGGTGACTTCCTCTCCCTTCCCCATTGTCAGTTTCAGCCCTTAGACCCAGTTTTAATTCTAGAAACCTAGTGTCCTCTCAGTCTGCTATTCCCACACAAGAGGTGATTCCTCCTGCTCTGAAGTTTTGCAATCCCATCCAGCTAAGAAGCATCCCTTCTTTTTGTCTTCCTTCCACCCCAGGCCTCTAGTTCAGCTAATAAGATAATATATGTTCCTTTGGCATCTTTCCTAACCAAAGTGCATTTTAACAGGAAATATAGAAACAGTGGGACTTCCCAGGTGGTGATAGTGGTAAAGAATCTGCCAGCCAGTGTAGGAGATGTAAGAGACTCGGGTTTGATCCCTGGATCAGAAGATCCCCTGGAGGAAGTCATGGCAACCAACTCCAGTATTCTTGCCTGGAGAATCCCATGGACAGAGGAGCCTGGCAGGCTACAGTCCATAGGGTCGCACAGAGTCGGACATGAATAAAGCAAATTAGCATGCATGCACACATAGAAACAATACCTTGATGCGAGTGCGTGGTTCTACTAGTGGATATTTTAGACACGAGGCATATTTAGAGAAAGACGTGGCCTTTTTGGATTTCTATTAAACACACCATGTAAATTCATTCACTGTGGAGACCCACATGTTAGATATGAAATCTCTGATGGGTCCCAAGCTGAGGGAGGAAATTTTGTAACAAAATCAATCAGAATCCAATTAGGGGGCATTCCGTAGCAGAGGGCATGAGTCGACATGATGTAAGGGGGGCAAATCAAATGTTTACTTCCTGAGGTTCTCTTCATCTTGTGTCTTCTTCTTGTAAAAAACAGGATGTGTTTATGTTACATATTTTTTTCCCCTTACAGCTGGAGAAGAAAACTTGGATCAAACCAGATTCCTAGAAGACAGTCTGCTAAACTGGTGACAATATACCGGATTCCATTCAATTATCGTTCTATTCTTATTGAAAACATGAGCCATGTGAATAAAGTCTGTGGACCCTTTTTCCTTCATTTGTAATCTTAGGAACATGTGCAGCCAGTTTTATTCTTCCAGAAGCTAAAGTGATGCTGCATTCTTAGAACATCACTGCTTTCTTCCATGACTTCAGGTCCTGTTTAGATCACCTGGTATCTTACTCTTGAATTTAACCCATTTATAGTTATTAGGTTGAAGACTCTTTAAAGTGTTCCTTCTTTTTGTTACAATACCCATCTTGATTTAATCATTCTTAGTTTTTTTTTTTTCCATTTTATTACCCACTTGTATTGTCTTAGCACTCAACAGTGAAACTCCTTTCCTTTCCCCCCTTTCCTCACCTCCAAGGAGAGAGAGGTGGGAAGCATGGGAGGATGGGAAAGAGTGAAATGTGATTGTTAGTATCCAGGAGAGGTGAGTTGTCAGGAAGGGAACCGGGGGGGATGACTGGGAAGAAGCCCTGTGATCAGTCAGGACACTGCGGTTGCTGAGGGAGGGGACCCTTGGTGAGGCAGGAGGCAGTGGAAGGTTCTACAGCGCGGTGCTCCCCCTGTGCTCTCTGGGGATTTCCTTGAATTCAGTTTAGAAACGAGGATCTAAAAATTACTGGAAAATAAGATGGAAACACACTCTACTCCTGGATATATTGTACAAAAGAAATGAATCATTTTTTTTAGAGCCATTTTCCTTGGCTAAGCAGATTCAAAGATTGCTTACTCTGTCTAGAACTTGAGGCTTTATTTGCCCCTGGAGGAGGAAATAGCAACCCACTCCAGTGTTCTTGCCTGAGAAATCTCAAGGACAGAGGAGCTTGGCAGGCTGCAGTTCACAGGATTGCAAAGAGTCAGACATGACTGAGAGATTGAGCACAAACTAGACTTTATTTGCATTAAAACATAACATAAAGGCACCCCGAGAATGTAAGTGCATGATACTGTGCCTCGTTTATTTTTAAATTCAACTATAAAGTCGACAGTTTTTCAGTACTGTCTGAAAAATAAAATATGCACTACCTACACCAAGCATATAGTATATTTATTTGGAATTACAATATGACCAGCATGTTAATTATTTCTGACTTAATTAATTGAAAATTGTTACTGATAATTGTCATAAGTGGAAAGCATTGTCAATTCTTATTATCATCAGTACATAAGCTATTAGTAAGTAGGTAAAGAATATCATTATATGAATGTCTCTGTAACTTGGAATTACAGTTTTGCTGTATTAAGTAAACAAAAGCCTATATGTAAGATGTGTCTGTATCTCATTTCATAATTGAATAATGAAACTGTTTTCAAGTTAATGTAACACGGCTCTCTGCCAAAAACTTAATATGCTAGCATTAAAAAATTCTTTGTGGTATTATAATAGATGCCTGTCATTAATTATTATTTGATTTTAAAATGGATTTTCTAGATAGTATAAATGTCCAGTCTATTGAGAATTATTTACTCACCTGACATAGATTTGCACATTTGAGCTACTTAAATACTATGTCTATTTGCAGAATACATTTAAAGTCTAACAAAGTAATTCTTCCACCTAGAACAATCTCAAGCATTTCCCACTAAAACAGAGCTTTTATAAGCTGTCTAAATGGCCAATAGCTGTTAAAATATTATCAGCTCCAATATTAGAAGTATTTGAACTTCCCGAACATTCTTCTGCTATAAGGATGTGTTCATTAACACAGTAGTTGCATAAAGACCCCTATGCCTGGTTTGCTATAACCTTCTATCTCTCCTGGAGTGTCTTTGCCATTCTCTTTATTGCTGCCTTTTCAAAACTGAAATGAATCAAGTGATCAGTGGTCAAAATTTTTCACATTGTATGACTTGTATTTTATTTACAATTTTTCAGAATTATTCAACCTTCTGCTTTACTTTTTTAAAAATTTGAGTATAGTTGCTTTATCCCTGGAGAAGGGTATGGCAACACACTTCAGCATTCTTGCCTGGAGAATCCCATGGACCGAGGAGCCTAGAAGGTTATAGTTCATATGGTTGCAAAGAGTTGGACACAACTGAAGCGACTTAGCACGCATGCATGCATAGTTGCTTTATAATTTGTGTTAGTTTCTGCTCTACAACAAAGTGAATCCGCTATATATATATATGTATATATATACCCATATATCCCCCCTCTTCAGCCTCTCTCCCATCACCCCCATCCCACACCTCTAGGTCATCATATAGCAACTTCACACTAGCTATCTGCTTTGCACATGGTAATGTATATACATGAGTGCTACTGTCTCAGTTCATCCCACCTCCCTTTGAGTAACTCATCCCACCTCCACCCTCCCCTTCCCCCTGCCCCTCATGTCCACAAGTCCATTCTCTACGTCTGCGTCTCTATTCCTGCCCTCCAATAGGTTTGTATGGCCTGTACTTTAAAACTGGGAAATGTTTGCCTCCTATCCGTATCTGTGTCCTAAAATACCCCACTTCTAGATTGGCCTTGCAGCCAGTTTCATACCCTCCAGTTGCTCTCACCCTCTTTGCTCTATATCCTTCTTCCCCTGTGGCTACGTGGCCTCCGGGTGGGCTCGCAATTATCTTCTGTTTCCCTGGGCTTCCCCAGTGGATGCCATCTCTCCCCCAAGTCCCACATCACCGTGGTGATCCTAAACAAGGAGAGAAGGAGATAGGTCCTAACAGGTTACCTCCAAGTAGCATTTCTTCTTTACCAGCTGATGAGAAATAAAAGTCTGTATCCCACCAACCCTGAGTTACATTATTTTACCTTGACCTCAGGAGAAAGCGCAATTGGGAATGCAACTTCCTGGCTTCCTCTTACTGGACTATAAATTCCTTTAGGAAATGTTCATGTCTAATTTGATTTCATCCTTAAAATCATAATGTGAAATGGGCAACTGTGTCTCCCACATTACTTCAGAGAAATTTAGTCTCCCCATAAGATGTCTCTTTGAATATCTTCAAGTATGCACTTAACCAATCCCTCCTCTGAGACCTCCTGAAAAGCTATTTGAATAGCACTTGTAATATTTTATATTCCCATCTGTATATGTAAAGTCAGCTCTATTCACCCTTCTTCCTACCATAGAAGGAAAGCAAAGCAAAGCAGAGTCGCTCAGTCGTGTCCGCTCTGCGACCCCATGGACTGTACCTACCAGGCCCCTCCGACCATGGGATTTTCCAGGCAAGAATACTGGAGTGGGTCGCCATTTCCTTCTCCAGCCATAGAAGGAAGGGACAATGCATAAAAAAAAAAAGTCTTGCTGTCAGCTGGTCAAGCACACAGTTTTCTATAGTTCCTGACCTCCAGTTTATGGATACATACATGTTTTTTCTTTCTTTCTTTTTTTTTTTTTTGACCTCGCTCCATGGCGTGTGGGAATTTTGTTCCCTTACCAGGGATTGAACCCACACCCCCTCATTGGAAGCGTGGAGTCTTCACAACTGGACCACCAGGGAAATCCCATACATTCTTTATTTTTTTCCTTTTTTATACATACATTCTTTAAGAGCATCAATTTTCTTATCCATTTCTTTCATTAAAATCGTGTATGAGGCACTATGATAGGCACAGAGTCATCTAATGATCCCATTGGTTGTTCCTCACTGGGTTTTGTCAAACTTGGGAAGATGACAACCAAACACTGAACTTTGTCAGTCTTGGGGAAAGAACAACTAAGCACGAGCTTTGTCAGTTTTGGGGAAATGACAACTAAGTGCCTAGAGCAAAGGGTTGGCGTCAGATGGCAGCAGCTGTCTGAAGAGAGGACCAAATGCAGGGTAGAAATTGATTCCTACACATGCCACTGGAAGCCAAGTGTTTCCCCATGACCTGCACCATTTGTACTCATTTCTAATCAGAAAACTATTCTTTCATTTTAAAATGAAACTTGAATTTTAAAGTTTTAAGTATTTAAGTATACTTAAGTATTAAATACTTAAGTATTTAAGTATTTTAAGTATTTAAGAAGTAATACTTCTTAAAGTATTAAGAAGTTATAGCTTCTATAGAGTTCATGCTCTCAACAACTTACCAATCAAGAGGATCACTTGAATATATACATCACAACAGCACATCACTTTACTAGGGATATATTTTCATAGTTATTGCAAGAGTGAAACCCATTTTTATCATGAGATCTTTCTGGTGCTTCAGCAAATGGGTATTTGAATTGTAATACAAATCTATTTCATATTTTGTTTTTCTAATCTCCTCTGTAGAGCTTTCCAAACTGCTTTGCAGATGCTGAGTTAGTTGGAAGCCATTGGGCGTTTTTTAAAAAGTAGGATTTAGGTAACTTTTTTTCCTTCCCCACAAACCTCTAAGTGAGGGAGTTTGCCATGATCTTCCATTTTGGTCTGAGATGCTGACAATAGAAGAGCTAGAATTTAGGGCAATAGAAGAGCTTGAATTCAGGGGCAATAGAAGAGCTAGAATTCAGTTTCCACTAGTCTTTCATGATCTGATTCCAGCTTGAGTTTCATCCAGCCCAGCATTTCTCATGATGTACTCTGCATATAAGTTAAATAAGCAGGGTGACAATATACAGCCTTGACGTACTCCTTTGCCTATTTGGAACCAGTCTGTTGTTCCATGTCCAGTTCTAACTGTTTCTTCTTGACCTGCATACAGATATCTCAGGAGGCAGGTCAGATGGTTTGGTATTCCCATCTCTTTCAGAATTTTCCACAGTCTGTTGTAATCCAGACAGTCAAAGGCTCTGGTGTAGTCAATAAAGCAAAAGTAGATGTTTCTCTGGAACTCTCTTGCTTTTTTGATAATCCAACAGATGTTGGCAATTTGATCTCTGCTTCCTCTGACTTTTCTAAATCCAGCTTGAACATCTGGAAGTTCTTCTTTTAACTTATATGCAGAGTACATCATGAGAAATGCTGGGCTGGATGAAGCACAAGCTGGAATCAAGATTACTGGGAAAAATATCAGTAACTTCATATACGCAGATAACACCACCCTTATGGCAGAAAGCAAAGAACTAAAGAGCCTCTTGATGAAAGTGAAAGAGGGGAGTGAAAAAGTTGGCTTAAAGTTTAACTTTCAGAAAACTAAGATCATGGCATCTTGGTCCCATCACTTCATAGCAAATGGATGGGGAAACAATGGAAACAGTGACAGACTTTATATTTTAGGGCTCCAAAATCACTGCCAATGGTGACTGCAGCCATCAAATTAAAAGATGCTTGCTCCTTGGAAGAAAAGTTATGACCAACCTAGACAGCATATTAAAAAGCAGAGACATTACTTTACCAACAAAGGTCTATCTAGTCAAAGCTACGGTTTTTCCAGTAGTCATGTATGGATGTGAGAGTTGGACTATAAAGAAAGCTGAGAGCTGAAGAATTGATTCTTTTGAACTGTGGTATTGGAGAAGACTCTTGAGGGTCCCTTGGACAGCAAGGAGATTCAACCAGTCCATCCTAAAGGAAATCAGTCCTGAATGTTCCTTGGAAGGACTGATGCTGAAGCTGAAACCCCAATACTTTGGCCACCTGATGTGAAGAGTTGACTCATTGGAAAAGACCCTGATGCTGGGAAAGATTGAAGGCAGGAGGAGAAGGGGTCAATAGAGGATGAAATGGTTGGATGGCATCACTGACTCGATGGACATGAGTCTGAGTAAACTCTGGGAGTTGGTGATGGACAGGGAAGCCTGGTGTGCTGCAGTCCATGAGGTCGCAAAGAGTTGGACATGACTGAGCAACTGAACTGAACTGCATGATCTGATACACTGTCATTGTTTCTTTTCCTTCTTTAAAAATTATAGGTTGTTTATTTATTTATTTTTGGCTGTGCCGGGTCATGATTGCCGCACACAGGCTTTCTCTAGTAGCAGCAAGAGGGGACTACTCTTCTTTGTGGTGTGTGGACTTCTCATTGCAGTGGTTCCCTCTGTTGTGGAGCATCGGCTCTAGGCACTTGGACTTCAGTAATTGTGGCCCATGGGCGTAGTTATGCCATGGCATGTGGAATCTCCCAGACCAGAGATCGAACCCATGTCCCCTGCACTGGCAGAAGGACTCTCAGCCACTCTCAACCATTCTCAATCAGGGACCACGAGAGAAGTCCCTGTTTCTCTTTATTGCCATCAACAACCCAAAATTGAGCAGACCTAAAGAGAACCTCTACAGACCTGGGCCAACCAATAAGCCAACCAAGGCGTTCTCTGTTACGGAAAAATAATCCACAGGTGAATGTGGGCTTCTTTTTGTTTTTTGCCAATTTAGGTTTAACTACATTCAAAACATTAATATGTTTAACTACAACCATTCAACAATGTCTCAGAGACACTGTCCTTCTTATAATAGACTCTCTATTTTCTTTTGCTAATATTTTTTAAAGATAGCTTTAAATGTTATCCTTCATAAGGCACTATTTTATAGTGTTTTTGAACGTATTATTTAAATGCCTAAAAGAATTTTAAACAAGACATTATCAATGCAGTTAAACTTTAAATACTGATATATTTATTCATATGGATTTAACAATTTATCCCCTATGAAAGACTAACCAAGTTTTCAAAAAGAGCTTCCTTTTACACAATAGAAAAAGCTGATATAGTCAGGTGGCACAATACAGATAACATCTTCCCACCATTAATTTGAGAAGTGACCTTGTACATATGCATTAACATAGCAAGATCCGGATTTTGGATAGCTATTGTCTTATGGAATCTGATGCAAAAGTAAGCTTAAATTCATGGTTCTGATTCATGTGAAAATTAAAAGTAATCACTAAAGGCCAAATTATTTAAAATATAAACATAGAACACATTCAAGGCTAAGGTCAGGATCCTTTGGGGGCGGGATGGCAGACTTGTTTAGTAGGTATAGAAGCTGTATAAACACTAAGCAAAGGGTTATGGTGATGATAATTAAAAAATCGACATTAGGAAATGAAAATTCTTACCGCTTAAAATAACCATTTTTAAAAACACTTCCAGTCTTCTTCCTATAATTAGGTCATGTTTCTCATGACCTACATTGACTGGAGAAAAGGAATTGGGGAAAATAACTGGGATTTCATTATAAATTACCAAATTGCCATTCACTTAACCTCCTCCATTTTTTAGGCAGAGAATAGATCCCATTGTAACACTGAGAGGAAGAGAGGGAACCGTGTGGCATTTCCATTTCTGTCAACAATCATTCTTACTATGTTCTCACTAAGTTAGCCTGTTGGACCAGAGCGGAATTCAATTCTTGTATTCTCCGTGCTGCTTCTTCTTCCCACGAGGAATGTGACTCAGAGAAAACGGCGACTTGATATTTAACCGATCCCTTTCGGCCTCTTCTTCCTCGTCGTATCTCTCATCCTCATTGTCATCCTCCGCATCGCTGCTCTGAGGACTGGAGGCCTGAGATCCCGAAGGCGACGGTGGTACCGAGGAGGGCCTGGGATACTTAAACCCTTCTGTCTGTCAAAGCCAAAAATAAGACACGAAACATCAGAAGGACTTCTTGATTTTTCAGTGAGGTAAACACTTGGCATGTGCATTTATTAAAATCACAGTTGGATATTTTTTGTGGTCTGTTCAGGGGCTATTAATTTTGATTTAATTTGACTCTGGTACCACCAAGTTCAAGAGAGATTCTAAATAAATAGCTTCGTTTTACGGAGCACTGAAATGTGCCAGGTGCTGTGTGTATGTGTGATCGTATTTAATCTCCAACCAATCTGTTCCATTTACAGAAGAAAATTGAGGGTCCAAGAGGGTCCAAATGATTTGCTCAAGGTCATAGAGCAGATGGTAGAGCAAAGATTGGTTCCAGAAGACCTGATATTTTCAGAGCCTCTACAGACCTGGGCCAACTAATGGGCCAGTCAAGATGTTCACTGCGATCTAAGTGTAACAATTCTCAATTCTGGAAAAAACTAATCCATGGGTGAATGTGGGTTTTGTTTTTGTTTTTGTTTTTTTTGGTCAGTTTAGGTTTAACTACATTTAAAACATTGTGCTGCAGTTCATGGGGTCGCAGAGTCGGACAGGACTGAGCGACTGAACTGAGCTGAAAACATTAATACATTTAACTACAACCATTCAGCAATGTCTCAGAGATACTGTCCTTATTATAATTAAGTCGACTATTTATTTTTGCTAGTATTTTTATGATGATTTTTGGGATGATCTGGCTGTGACTACCCGAGAGCCTTTAATATCTACTGCCATGATACCCTGTTGAGATTATCAGTCTCTATTTCATCCTTCAGATTTACTCAGTCAAACTGCAGAACATGGGCAGCCTGCATATCCACGGACAGCCACCACTAGAAAGATTCCTGGAAGCCAGGCCACTTCGTTGACCTCGAAATTCCACCAGTTCCATTTATTTCAGTTAATGAGCATTTATCACTAGGTTTTAATCAATTGCCCTTCTACCTAAGATGCACTGAGATAACTCAGTTGATAAACAGACATGAGCACCACCTATAGGACAGACACCCTAATGCCACTGGGGAAACAAAGATGAAAAACATGCTTCCATCCATCAGGAAAACAAATGTAACAGCACTTGTCATTCTGAATTTCAACTATTTTTAGACACTGTTATGTCATATATGTACAATCACTTCAAGACTCATACTTTACCTGAAAGCGATACAAAACAAGAGGAAAAAAAAAAGCTGAGTCCTATACTTACTATAGGAGTTCAATACTTATTAAGTTGAGTTAGTTGAATACATGGATGAATATAGGTGAATTATCATTCAGGGCAGTGACCACCTCTGAATAATCTAAGCAAGTCACTCTGAGGACATGGACATGGGAACTGAAATTTATATACTGAGGGATTTATGAAACCCTTTCATCTTCTCTATTAGCAACTTTTACCTCAGGTTAGCTCTCTAGATCTGGTCCTCAAACACCAAATAAAGGTGAACATAAGGTATTGGGCAAAATTGCTTATGGTAAAAATGACTCCTGATTGAAAAACTACATCTACATTTGGAGTATCTATAAATACTTGACAAAGATCTCTAGCTTTTAGAAATCCTTGAATTTGATGACTCTTATAATTGGTCACAATCCTTGCAGAGACCACAGAAGCTTATCAGTGAAGATTTACATGAGACGTTGGCTCTTGTGGGGCATGAACTACTAAGCTAAAATAGATGTCGTGGTCAACAGCAGGGGTTTCATCTTTTTGCTCCTACGTGTTCACCTGGTGGGGAGGGGACACAGAAGTTCAGCTCTTAGACCGCTGTGTAGACGGCTGTAAGGACTTACTCCATTGGAGAGAGACGTCTGATACTGCTCTACCTAGAGCTGTGTTTCCTTCTAAGTAAATGTGATGACAAGTAGTCTGTTCTAGTCTCATGAACATAAATGTCTCAGCTGGTGGGCATGGCTGAATGGAACAGAAATGGTCATCTAGTCCAATTTCTTCTATGGTGCTTGAAGTCTCTCTATTATTCTTGCCGAGCCATCAACCCGGAGAAGGCAATGGCACCCCACTCCAGTACTCTTGCCTGGAAAATCCCATGGACCGAGAAGCCTGGTAGGCTGCAGTCCATGGGGTCGCTAAGAGTCGGACATGACTGAGCGACTCCACTTTCACTTTTCACTTTCATGCATTGGAGAAGGAAATGGCAACCCACTCCAGTATTGTTGCCTGGAGAATCCCAGGGACAGGGATGCCTGGTGGGCTGCTGTCTATGGGGTCGCACAGAGTTGGACACGACTGAAGCGACTTAGCAGCAGCAGCAGCAACCAATATTTAAACATCTCCTTGGATAGCAAATTCACTTCTGATGAAAGCAGTCCAGTTTACTTTTAGACCACTCTCAAAAGAACAGATGTCTCAGAGAAGTTTCAGGCACCAAAGCATGAGAGTTTTCATTTGAAAGTGCTTCTCCACTTTGAAAGTAGCTGACTGCTGACCCTAGGTATAGGCTAACTGAACTGAGGCCTTAGAGATGGTCTGACCTGTCAGTTTCTCTACTTGTTTTGTTGCAACACTGTGAAAAAGTACAATAATTTGTGAATTTAGCTACTTTCAAATAAAAGGACTTACTGCACATAAACCATTTAGCTTTCAAAACAAACAATACATAAACTATTTACCGTTGGTGGCGATGTGGGTTCCATGTGGAATTTTTCTGGAAAGGCTCTGCTTAATGTCAGGAGCCTGGCATGCTGATGATACTGTGATAGAAAATCAATCCATGGTTTAAAAAAATTTATAGTTATGTATTTATATATATATATATATATATATATATATATATATATATATATATATGTGGCCATATGGCCAAATTATTATATAAAATCTTATTCTCCCACTTATAAATATATATATATTTTAAAGTGGCAGATTTTAGTCATCCTAAACTTAAGAATCAAAAAACCATGACATTGCTATGTAATACGGGGAACTCAACCTGGTACTCTGTGACAATCTAGAGGGATCAGATGGGGGGATAGGAGGAAGGTCAAGAGGAGGGGATACATGTTTACTTATGGCTGATTCACATTTTATGGCAGAAAGCACCACAACATTGTAAAGCAATTATCCTCCAATTAAAAATAATTTTTAAAATATGGTAATTTATAGGTTTATTATTTTTCAGTCAATAAGTAATATTACCAAAAATTTGAAGGAAAGGCCATCCTTCTAAGTAAACGAACTCTTACTTGAACTCTGAATTGAGCACAAAGGTGATTGAAAACACTGGTTTTATTCTACAGAGGAGCAGTATGGTGTGGAAAAAAGTTGGGGCCTGAATAATCAGACAAACGGGATTTAAATTCTGCTTCAGATATTAAGAAAGAAACATAACTTCTAAGTGCCTTATCATCCTGCTTTCATTATACAATGAAGACAGTAGAATTAACCTTCCAGGTAGTAAGCATAACCGTCAGCATTAGTGTGTGTATATCCTCAGCTGCTGGCTGCAGCTGTCATTTGTCAGCCAGAGTTCAGCAGTATTTAAGCAGTTACATTATGTGAAGGCAAACTCAATTTCGTTTTTATTAAATCATCCAGTGCTAAGATGTATGAACATCTATCTGAGTATTTATAAACTTACTGCAGACTAGAAAGGAGGTATTTCCTGTACCTGTAATTTGGAGAAACAAGATTATTCCCACTCCCCATTGTAGTTGAGAAATGTGATCATATTCTCTCTTAGAGTGAAAGAAAACAGGGGCTTTCTTCTTGATGTTTTCCTCATCTTCATGAAACAATACCTATAATGCATCAAGTTAAGCCCTAGAAATAGAATAATTAGTAAGATCATGGCTAGATCTCTCTGAACTGGCTGTTCTGGTCTCAAACTAAATATGAAGAATTGGAGTTAGGATTTCGCCAAACTCACATCAAGTTTAGAAGTAGTCATAGTTAAGTACATGAGAACATCAGTGAGATCTTAACAATGATGATACAGATTGACCTTATAGATGGCAATTCAAATCAGATCTTTCATAACCCAGGGGGGATTTTTAAAGGGGTCCTCTGTGTAGATCACAGACTTGCTTACTCTGCCTAAGTATCTCCAGTCCAAAAGATCAGAGAGCCTCTCGGTTCGATTCCTTTGAATAATCCTCTGGCGGCGTGACTGTTTGCAAAATCCATAGAGAAACTGAGTCAGCTGATTGCAGGAATCATCAGGGGAGCAGAACCGCCGGTCAACGATGTAAATTCCTGAGAGATACAAACGCCGGCGCACAGGTAAAGGTAAGGCTGACCTTGCGCATTTCTACTCCTGTTCCTTAGGCTCCATCATGGACCGCATGCTTATCCACTCGCTGACTCCCCTACTGCTTCTGCTTCACCTTTTCCCTTCCAAGACTATGTTTCTCCTGTGATTTCCTTCTAATAGCTCACAACTGTTACTAACACATAGCCAACCAAATGAATGTTGCCAGAAAAAACCTGGCACAACAGGGCTACCCCAGATCGGTGGTCATCCTTGGGGCCACTGGCTAACCAGAGTCTCCAGGGTAAGGACTGAATCTCAGTGTTTTTCAAGTTCCCCAGTGTCCCCACTGTGCACCATGGGGTGAGACTACAGCTGTCACCCAAGGAAAGAAAACGGTGACAGTGCGACTCTGCAAGACCAGAGAATCAGCATGTCCAGGCAGAGCATCCAGCCCATTCTAATTTTTCTTGTTGCTAGGCAACATGGACGTAGAGATGGTGACACCATCTGCCATCTGAAATGTGAATTTTGATAACTTGGTAGTTGGAACTTAGAAAATAATTATGCTGACCAATACATGTACTCTAAAGCAGTGGTTATCATAATATCACTTCCAGGTAATAGAAGACCAAACCAGTTCAGAAAAATAAAACGGTGAAAAGGCAAGATTTGTCCAACTTTAGCACTCCTTTTGGAGAAGGGAATGGCTACCTACTCTAGTATCCTTACCTGGAGAAATCTCATGGACAGAGGAGCCTGGTGGGGTACAGTCATTGGGGTCGCAAAGAGTTGGACACGACTGAGCAACTAACACTTTCACTTTCACACTTTGTAGTTTGACTTTTAGGCAGTATATTCAATATTAATATCATCCTTTTCTATGGACCATATAAGTAATCTACTTTTAATCAACCAAAAAGTATAAATATTAATTGGGGTTTCCCTACTGACTCAGCAGTAAAGAATCTGCCTGCAATGCAAGAGACCCAGGTTTGATCCCTGGGTCAGGAAAATACCCTGGAGGAGGACATGGGAATCCACTCCAGTATTCTTGCCTGGGGAATCCCATGGACAGAGGAGCCTGATGGGCTACAGTCATGGGGGTCACAGAGTCTAACACAACTTGGCATCTAAACAACAACAAAAAAACAATCATCACTGGGATAGTGTTAAGAGTTGAGCTCTGTAAAGACCCTGTGCTTTGTTTGGTGAGAGGTCCCTTCTCGCTGGTTGGGTTCATGATGAAAAGCCTCACCATATGCAGTGGGGTCAGCCACATGCTCCTGCATGAAACAGCCAAAGCCAGAGAGATTGGTGGTCACACTGGGGATGCCCATCACAGTGCATTCAGCTGTCAGGGGAAACAGAAAAAGGCTTGGCTTCAGACCAGCAATTATACCTTCTTACACATTCAGGGAAGGAAAAAGCCCCAGTCCCGGTAACAGCAATGTTTGGTTTGTGCCAGGCACAGCACTAAGCTCCTTACATGCATGAACAAATTTAATCTTCTCAAGCAGCCTGTGAAGTAAGGCTATCATTAGCCTCATCTTACAGATGAAGACATTGAGGCCCAGGAAGGTTAAATAGCTTTCCCAGCTTCACAAAGCCAGGGGGTGTGGTGGAGCTGGGATTTGTAGCCAAGTGCCCAGCCCCAGAGCTACTCAGCACTGCTACCTAACACTGCCTCTCTGATTCCAGCTGCCTTTTCTCTTGCTCTATTCTAAGCTTGTGTCTCTAAGCATATGGCAAGTTTATGCGGTAAGCCGACTCATTGGAAAAGACCCTGATGCTGAGAAAGACTGAGGGCAAGAGGAGACGCGGATGACAGGAAGAGATGGTAGGATGGCATTACCAACTCAATGGATACGAGTTTGAGCAAACTCCAGGAGATGGTGAAGGACAGGGAAGCCTGGCATGCTGCAGTCCATGGGGTCACAAAGAGGTGGAGACGACTGAGCAACTGAACAACAAAATACATTGTGGACAAGACCAGTTCCTCCCCTCATTTTCATCTCTTTGCCCACCAATCTCTTCCACTTTCTCGGGTACTCCGTGAAACCATGGTTTGTTTCAATCCTCTATCACCTTTTAATCAAAACCTTTTCTCCAGACAATCTCAGATGTGTCTTAAGACATGTTACCACACTCAAGAATATTTGAATTGTTAATGTGAAATTTATATTTAATTATGGAATTTTTCTTGGTTGATTAGTGGGCATGAGTGGACAAAAAAACTTCCGCATGACCCATGTACTCCTATTCTGCAAGTATTTCCTCTTGGTTTAGCTCCAGAGAGTAATGGTTTTCAAATTTGGGGGAAGATGGAAGAGGAGAGGAAGTTGAGTCAGAGATTATTGACTCATTTGAGAATGTGATGAAACCCTAGAACTCCTCCCCAGAAAAATTTTGCCTACAATTCTATGAAACTTCACAGATCCTCAGTTTTATTAAATACTCTTTTACATCCAAATAATAAAATTTCAGGCACCTTTGTAAGCACCGAATATGTCCACTGAATGAAATTAATGAAGTCAGTGTTTATCTTCACTGGGTTTTCTCAAAACATAAAACACAGATTTTAATAATTTCTGGGGTGAGAGTTAGCACCACATAAAGCAATTGTTCTAAAAAATTATCTAATATACGAATACCAAACTTATACCACCAGAGGTTCTGCTATTTCTGCAATTAAGGTTAGGAAAGGAGGGGCCAACTTCCTTAGAGAATGACTCATTCACTATTTGGCACGTATTTCTCACACTCCCTTTTCCATCTACTTATCTTTTATAACACCTTTGCTGGCCTTTATCTTAACAAACTAGATATGGCTCCTCTATCATTTCAGGTTAGGTTTACCTTTGTCCTATGATATGATATTCTGGTGGGAAGTAAGTCAGATAGCCTCTTTATCCAGTATAAATGACTTTCCACATTCCTGTTCTCACTCATGTTTTGGTTTTGTACTTTTTTGTTCTCCATATTTACAGTTGAAAATTATATTACTTACTAGAAATAATAGGAGTAACAAAGTTGTCAGTTCATCAAGTGAATCGTTTTAATGTATCTCAAAAGATAGTTACTTCATTAAAAACAATTTAAGATAACTGTGTGGGCATTTTACAAGAAAGAAGATACTACCTTCACAAAAGTGGAATTGGTGCCAAAAACAACTTTTAGAACTACAAGAGAGATAACTGGAGGAGTCAGATTAGTAACTTTACTATGTCATGTTTCAAGAATGGGTAATTCTTTGTCAGTCTTTCCCCAAATGTTCTAATGGTTTTACAGCTGCTGGCAAATTATTCTTGCTGGAGCCTAAGACAATAAAAAAGGAACTTGATCAAAAGATGCAGAGCCTTGTCACTCCTATTGTAAAGAGTATAGTAACCTATTTATATAGAATTTAAAATTCTATACTTAAATTCTAGGGCCAGAATGTAAAGATTAGAAAAACCTTCCTCATAATTCAGCCCATGACCTCTCTCACCTTAATTGCTGCTGCCCCTTACTTAGACCACGATGACACTGAGATGCAGAAGGCAAAATGTATTTATTATAAATAAAAATGTTTTCTGAGCCTTTTATTTTCGATTATAAATGGAATTATAGCTGTACTGGGAGGAAAGTCTATGATTAGCAGGAAGATGGAAAGGTCATCAATGTCTTCTTAGCATTGGCATATAAAGTAATTGTTTCCTTTTTAATTAGGCTTTTCAGTACAAATACAAATTGACAGCTCCTGATGCCAATGACAACCATGTTAGTAGGATACAGAAAAGAAAAAAAGATAGTGGATCTGAGAATCTACCACCTGTGGGAAAAAAAGGTGGTGGGGCAGGTGTAGGGTCTGAATGGAATTATGTCATTGGCATAATGCCTACCACCAAACTGACATTCTATCTTTACCTCTTTTTTGAGAGACAAGGGTGTGAAGATGACTTTTCACCATACATCTCTTTATACTATTTGTGTCTTTAACCATGTGAATGCATCACCTAATTAAAAGATAAATATATCCTTAACTTAAAAGGCATTCTTCTGAAATAAATTTTATAACAATTTCAGAAACAACTGTTTCTCATATTAATCTCCTTGTAGTTAGTTTCTTCTTTATATTAATGGATAAGACTGGTGAATTTAACTCAAAAGATATATTTTTTATAAAACAGTCTTTTTCTTTGGAATGCAGTGAGGCAACAATTCAGATACTAAAATATGCCCAACCACAACCTCTTACACTTATATAAAAGATTATGTATTATGTCCTTGGGCTTCCCAGGTGTCACTAGACGTAAAGAACCTGTCTGCCAATTCAGGAAACATAAGAGAGGTGGGTTTGATCCCTGGGTTGGGAAGATACTCTGAAGGAGCGCACAACAACCCACTCCAGTATTCTTGCCTGGAGAATCCCATGGGCACATGAGCCTGGTGAGCTATAGTCCATAGAGTGGCAAAGAGCTGGGCATGGCTGAAGCGACTTTAGCACGCACACACGCATTATGTCCTTATGCTTACGTCAGGAGCGACAAAGTATAAATCTGACCTCTGGGATAGATCCAACCAAAATCACTTTTAAAACAAACAAACAAAACCAGAACCTTAGCAGAAATGACATATCAACTTGGAATATTATATACATGTGTGTAGAATAATATTCTAATACAACTTAAAGCATCTCATAATCTATACATGTCACATACCTGGAGTATAACCCCAGGGTTCATAGTATGATGGAAATACTCCAAGATGACAACCTCGGACAAACTCTTCGTAATCCATGGGTAGCAAGGGGCTGGTGGAGGACAGGAACTCTGGGTGCAAAATCAACTGAAAGAGAAAAAAAAATCTAATGAGAAAAAGAGAAAAGAAAGAAGAAATTAGAGCAAAAAAATCTCCTACAGTTTTTTTATTTCAGTATTTCGATACTATAGAATCCTTGTGTTATAGACTCAGGGGAAAGAAAGAGAGAGATAAGGGAAAAGAAAAAGGAAAAGGTCTGGGTGTTTTTTTCCTCCTCTATTCTCTGTGAATATCTACTCTGAGGACCGGTTTTCCCTCAAGTTCCCAGGCCTGGATTGGAGGATATAGAGTTGTGTCCATTTTTGTTCTCATGCTAAACTCATCCAACCCAGCCTTTATTGACAGTAAAGATTTTATTTGCTTTTCTAACTGCTTGCCCCGTCTTGTCTTTCAATTTATTCCCACCAGAAGCAGAGAAGAAGGGAGCTACCCTTACACGCTGAGTGAATGGAACTGAGGGACAATCGCAAGCTACCACCGCGATGTCGCTGAACTGGAGACAGGAAGAAGAGCAGGGCATCCCGAGAGGATATTTTCATCATGCGAGTATAGTGGTCAAAAATAACCTCCAGAGCATAGGTCATAGAGAAATGCAGTACACAACTAGGATGCAATGAGTTTCAGCATTACCTTTCCTTTTAGCATAGTTGATTTTTTTTAAAGTTTATGCAATTTGATTTTACACAGCAATTGTGTTTGAAACTGGCCCACGGCGTTTTGAAAAGTTAGCAGTTGGCTCCCGGGCACTGGTATGAGCCTTTTCTTGGACTGCACAGCCTGTGCATGTGTGCGGGCTAGTCACTTCTGTCGTGTCTGACTCTTTGCAACCCCATGCATTGTGTAGCCTGCCAGGCTCCTCTGTCCACGAGATTCTCCAGGCAAGAACACTGGAGTGGGTTGCCACGCCCTCCTCCAGGGGATCTTCCCAACCCAGGGATTGAACCTGTGTCTCTTACGTCTCCTGCATTGGCAAGAGGGTTTCCACTAGCGCCACCTAAGAAGCCCCGCAACCTTTAATTTTCTGCAAAGGCAGAGACCAGAACGCAGCTGTACTTGGACAGCTATGAATAGAATAGCTACTTAGCTGGAAACCTAGATAAATTAGTTCTATGTCTCCTATTTACTAAAATGATGAATTATGAATTTTAATATAATTATAATGTATAAATTATATTACTCCAGTACTTTAAAATCAGATTTTTCTAATTCATTTATTAGAATTTAATTTTAATAACTTACTTAGCTATGAGGGGAGGCTGATAGGTAACCTAAAATTGGTTCGGTGAGAACTTTAATAAAACAGAGAAATAAAATTATATATATATATATTATATATTTTCATATATAGTGTGTTTTATATATTTTTATTTGTTTATATGTAAACATGTTTATATATAACTTAAAATAATGTCAAATTTACAGAGAAGTTGCAAGTATAATGTGAATAGAATTAATATTTTTCCAGATCCATATGAGTATAAATTGCTGACTAGATGCTCATCATCCACAAATACTTAACATGTGTTTCCTGCAAACAAGAATATTCCCACTTAAAAAACTAAAAATAGAGTTACCATATGATCCTGCAATTCCACTGCTGGGTATGTATCTGGAGAAAACTCTAATTTTAAAAGATACCATGCACCTCAGTGTTTATAGCAGCACTATTTATAATAGCCAAGACATGGAAGAAACCTCAATGTCCCTTGAGAGATAAATGGGTAAATATGAAATATTACTCCATAAAAAATGAAATAATGCCATTTGCAGCAACATGGGTGGACCTAAAGAGTATCATATTAAGTGAAGTAAGTTAGATAAAGACAAATATCATATGACATCACATATGCATAGAATCTAAGAGATGGTACAAATGACCTTATTTACAAAATAGAAATAGACTCATAGCCATAGAAAACAAACTTATGGTCACCAAAGGAAACAGTGAGGGAGAGGGGAAGAGAGATAAACTACAAGTTTGAGATTAACATATATACACTACTGTGTATAAAATAGGTAAACAATGAGGTCCCACCGTATAGCACAGGAAATGAGACTCATATCTTATAATACTAATAACATAATGGAAAAAACTGAAAAAGAATATATATGTATATATAGCTGAAACACTTTGCTGTACGGTTGAAATTAACAACTGAAATAAGTGAATATTCTTCCAAAGAGATTACTTTGAAGGAAAAAAAACCTAATTTGGGATACACAGCAATAATGATGACAATAGTTGTCCAATACTTTATATATTATAAATCAGTTTCACATATATTACCTCATTTAATCTTAGCAACATTTTGTGATAAGGAGAGTAGACATTCTCATTGTTTTTATTTTATTTTATTTCTAGTTTTAGAAATAAGGAAACTAAGACTTTGCAAGCATATGTCAAGAGATCAATAAATAGGAGATCTGTAACACTAAAGAAGAAATGAAATGGTAAAAATGCCCAAAACTAGTACCTATAAATGATGGTTTATTCAATCACAAGAATTACAAATTGGCAAAGAAAATAATGGATAAAGTATTTTCTTCCACAAAACATAATTTTAATTCCTATTACTTGCAAAGTACTGCACTAGGGAAAGAGACCAAAGAGGCAGACACTTGACCGTGTCTATGTCTTCAAGTCCAAAGCCCACTGTACCCTGTTGGCAAATATCAGCAAAGAGGGATTTGAAAGGCATTATGCCTGCTTTGGCATTTCCAAACTTAGGAAAACTTGTTCTCTCCAAATCCCATTTTGAAACATGAAAACATCATGGCTCATTCATTTTATTCCTAGCTAAAGAGAATAACAGCACAACTAAAATAAGAACACAGCTGTTCTACATCCTAAAACAGCCAATGGCAGAAGCCCAGGGCAGAGGAAGGGATATTAGAGGTCAGCCCAAGGTCACAGGGAGGATTAAATGAGATCCTGTGTGCAAAGCCCCCCAGTAGAGCAGCTGGTTCACAGCAAGACCTGGATCAGTCAGCATACAACAAAAACTTGTCAGGCTGTATTTATCCTGGGAGGGAAGCAAGGTCCCCGGAAGTTAGTTTGCTTTCACTGCAGGCAGCACAGGGTCGAGATCTTAAATCTACAGTCTAGACTTTTCTCACTATGCCTTGAACCCGAGGCAGGATCGATGATAAATTCAGATTCAAAATTATCTGCAATGCTTCCTGAATCAAACGGTTACATTAATATAAAAAACTTGTCAATTCAGTTGGGAGATTTAAGAATCACTCTATAGGTGTCTATAAACATGCAGGTAATCCAATAGATACTCATACTGTCAAACTTTTAAAGGACACTATTAATAAAATAAAATACATAATTCTGAACTAACCAAAGTTTATCTCAGTGCTTTGAATGTATATTGTTAGAAAGAGCTATTCTTTAGAAAACAAACTTACAGTTACCAGGAGCTAAGGCGGGGAGGGATAAATGTAGAGATGTAGATTGACACCGACACACTACTATATTAAAAAATAGGCTTCGCTGGTGGCTCAAATGGTAAACAATCTGCCTGCAATGCACGAGACTCAGGTTCGATCCCTGGATCAGGAAGATCACCTGGAGAAGGGAATGACGACCCACTCCAGTATTCTTGCCTGGGAAATCCCATGGGCAGAAGAGCTTGGAGGGCTACAGTCCTGGACACGACTGAGCGACTAACACTTCCACTTTCATATATAAAATAGATAACAAATAAGTACCTATTCTATAGCACAGGGACTCTACTCAATATTCGGTAATGACCTATATGGGGAAAGAAATTTTTTAAAAAGAGCTGATACATGTATAACTGATTCAGTTGGCTGTTTAGCAGAAACAAATACAACATTGTAAATCAGCTATACTCCAATAAAAATTTAAAACAGATTTAAAAAAAGGCTATTCTTTTATTTCTTTTCTGTGTGTTTGTCTTACATTAAACAGTGAATATCGGAACATGTTCATGAGCTTAACTGCATAAACACAATTTGTATGAGAAGCCTGCTAAACAAGGCACCTATGACTTATTTAGGGCTTCCCCGGTGGCTTAGCAGTCAAGGATCTGCCTGCCAATAGAGGAGACATGGGTTCAATCCCTGGGTTGGGAAGATTCCCTGCAGAAGGAAATGGCAACCGACTTCAATCTTCTTGCCTGGGAAATCCCATGGACAGAGGAAACTAGAGGGCTACAGTTCATAGGGTAGCAAAGAGTCAGATACGACTGAGGCACTAAACAACAACAACCTCTTCTTTCCATTTCGCTTTCTTCCTTGTGTCTCGCTGCATCTCTCTGCCTGCTCTTGCTTTCCACTTCTTTATCTTACACAGGTATTTCTGTCAATAAATGTTTTCATAACTACTGTTGTCCCCGTATCTGCTTTTCAGAGGACAAAAATTGAGAAAACAGATGAGACATGATCACCAGCTCAAAAAACCCACAGTCTCTGGAGAAATGGACACATTAAATTAAAATATATAGAATTCAATGTGATAACTCCTAAAATTGCAGAAGATACAAACAAGGAAACAGTTGTTCTGTCTGGAGTAGGTAAATGTATATTAAGAAAAGTGTAAGAAAGAGATGACTTCTAGGTTGGATTCCAAAAGAATTGTTCAAGTAACAGAAATCAGATTATTTCAGCGGGAAAAAAAAAATCAGCAATTACATAGAAGTATGAAAGTATTTCACATGTTTAAGAAATAAGTTACTTGTCCATTCCTGGGAATTGCTTCACTGTTATCAATCTTTTTTAAAAGCATCCATCTGTATTTATTGTACTTAATAAGTGTCAAGCACAGATAGATCATTAGAGGAAGAGTCAAAAGTTTAGATATGGATGTGACATGAAATTAAATCCCACTGGCCTCCAAAATCAAATCTCCTGTAGGTTCTCAGTCCCTTTGCCAGATCCCCAGGCTGGGAAGTCTGTTGTGGGTCCTAGAGCTTTCTTAACAGTGTGAGAATTTCTTTGGTATAATTGTTCTGCAGTTTGTGGGTCGTCTGCTCAACGGCTCTATGGTGGGGCTAATG